ACCAAAATAGCGCTAACTCGCCGAAAACGCTTCAAAACGGCCTGAGACGCGGGCAACCAACAAAGAATACAACAAGGCAATAAGGTAAGTCGATTTTATTGACAAACATAACATTTTTTCTCTCTTTTAAGATAAACCGAAAACATCCCATACAAACCTTTGTAAATAACCGTTTGTAACACAACACCACTCGCAAGCAAGAGTCACGTCCGCGTTCATGTAATGAGCTTGGGCCGCCTGTGCAGTATTTAACGACCTTCTCCCAGTTGGCTTGTTAGCTTAATAATCATAGGGAACCCACGCTCTTATTTGTAAACTGCTAATGGAAATTAAATAAGAGATAAAATCTTACCTCTTTTGTTTTATTCTTGAATCTGTCGTGGTGCGAAGTGAAATGGAAGTTTTTTACGATGCGAAAACTATGTTCAAGTCAACGACGCTTTAATAGCCCGGGGGGTTTAATAGCCTGCGTAGCAAGCGTGGAGCGAAAAAAGCGGATTTTTAGCCTGCGAACAGCAGACGCATTTCCGGTCGTCGCTTCTCTCCCTCCGAAAAATAGCGACGACCGGAAATGCGTCTGCTGTTCGCAGGCTAGCGGATTTTCGGTTTTAACAGCGCGAGAAATGAAATGAGAACTAAAAGATTAAAGACAGGGGAGGGGAAGGAAGGAAACGCTGTTTCCTCTCTTTCTTCCCCACCCCTGGACCTTCGTCCCTCTATAACTTGCGTCATTTGTCGAGCGGTCTTTGAGTTTTGTTGCTCATTCTTTGCTCCTAAACCGCACAGAAACGCTTGCTACGCAGGCTAACGCTTTAACGGTTGTTGTAGCCTGCGTATCAAGCGTTTCCTCGCGAGTTCGTCGAGAAAGTTGGGACGAGAGCAAAAAAAAAAGGAGCTCCCGCTCTAACTTTCGCGCAATAACTCGATTGGAAACGCTTGTTACGCAGGCTACCGTTGTTGATTTCCCAATGGTTGTTATTGTCGTCTCGCGCTTCATCGTTGGTTATTAATTAATTAACAATTTTTCTTTCTCTCTTTCGAATGGTTAATGAATTTTAATTGTTAAGATAACCAGCAATGAAACGCGAGACGATATTAACAACCAGCGCGTGACACCAACAGTGAAATGAGAGCCAAACCACATAAAGCATTATTAAACAACGGTTAAAGCGTCGAGTTGAACATAGTTTTCGCATCGTAAAACAACTTCCAAATCACTTTGCACCACAGCAGATTCAAGAATAAAACAAAACGGGTAAGATTTTTTCTCTTATTGTATTTCCATTTGTAGTTTACAAATAAGAACGTGGGGAGTCCCCCCTATGGCTTAATTGGTAGAGCGCTGCACCGGTCTCGCGTAGAAGCCTGAAAGTCCTGAAATGTTTTTTTGAGGCTTTCTTTTCGCAACTGCATAAGTTGTGTATATAACTGCGATGAGCTTCCTTCAAATAATCGGCTTGCACTCCGCAGTTCACATATATAGTTTTCATATGTTCATAATTTCATCATCATCGCCTCACGGGTTTATTACGAACCCCGGGTTACGAACCAATTTAACGACCTGCTCCCAGTTGGCTTGTTAACTTAATTGATAGAGCGCTGCACCGGTATATATCGCAGAGGTCAAGGGTTTGAATCCTGTACAAGCCTGAATTTTTTTCAGGTTTTCTTTCCGCAACTGCATAAGTTGCTTATATAACTGCGATGATCTTCCTTCAAATATTAATAATTTTTTCACTCCGCAGTTCACATATATGATTTTCATATATTCATACCCTTACTCGAATAAGAGCCCAACCGCGAATTAGCGCCCACCTCGAATAAGCGCCCATCCTAAAGGCAGAAAAAGTTAATAAGCGCCCACCACCACCACACCCCCTCCCCCTCACACTCAAACTCAAATGAATGACGACCCTCACCCCCGCTTCCCGCTCCTAGTGCCCCCCTGCAAAAAAACTTGAATAAGTACTAATAAGAGACTTCCCCGACGACGGAGTTTTCGTCAGAGTAGTTTACAGGAACCTTGCTTTGTTACATCTTCGCGTTTTGTTATTACCATTTATTGTTTTCTTGCAAAATAAACATACTACAGTTGCTGAAAATTGTGCAATTTTAATAAGCGTCCAGCCTCGAATAAGCGTCCACCCTCAAGGTCCAAAAATTTAATAAGCGCCCAGGGCGGTTAATCGAATAAATACATTTCAATAACAATGTAATTTCAATAACTGTTAAGACTCTCAACATATCTAATTTTCGTAAAAAGATTAAATCACTACTCCTTAATGTTCTAGGTAATGAGGATAATTATTTGAATGTTAATTATTTAAGAATATTTTATGATGTTAATCTGATATGTTGTTTATACCTCCAGCTGTGATTTTAGTCTTTTTGAGGTGACAAAATCCCCTGTGTAAGATGTTTCTTTCTGTATGTTATTGTATTTCTTTTCTTTTCTTTTTTTCTCATGTAATTTAATAACGTCTTTATTTAAAGTCTTGTCCTGCCTAGATTAGCATTATAGCTATTTGCAGGACATTAAGTATTGTAAACTTTATATTTCTTTATAAATACATTGTTTTTGTTGTTGTTGAAAAGAATGGATGCTGGTATATGAAAGTTTACCCAATTTGCAGAGATCACATCACAGTTCAAAAAAGTTAGGCAAACAGTCGGAAAGCCGATTGATTAAATGTATGCGAGTTTTAATTTGTCACCGATAGAAATCTCTCTTGTGCGCGACGTCCCCGCAAAATCTCATCTCTGGGAACTTAATCATTTCAGTAGCAGTCTTTGATCAATTAAAAATCATTGATAGTGATGTCATTGCGAGGGTGACATAAAACTTTAAGGTTAGAGGGCGTCTTAACGGACCCGAAAGAACACAAGACCCTTGTGAGGTCCTGAATTCCGTATGGAAAAAAAATTGGGGCGTTGAGCTTCTGTGATCACTTTAGACGAGTTTAAGAAGGCGGAAAGCAGCGGTTCATAGTTCTCTGCTGGTCTGTTTTCTTTCCCAAGAAGCGTTCTAACGTCTCTCAGTGAATAGGTGAGTCATCAGTTCATTGCATTTTCGTCCCGTCTAAGTCGTCTTGCTGTGCATTCTTTTCAGTTACTGAAATAACAAAATTCGTTTTGCTTCATTTACTAGGCTAATTACTAGTTATCATTTGTTGTGACTGCGATTGAAATTTGAAAATTACATGAAAAGCTATTGAACGCTTGAGTGATCTGATGCGATCCTACCACCTGTTGGTTCACTGAGGTCGCTTCGCCCCGGAGCAACTAACAAACTCGTTCCCACTCTGTTACACCTTACAGCCTTCTTGTTTATTTAACTCGCAAGGGGAAAGAGATCCGTCACTTTGTTCTCAGGGCATTTCGAAAAATCCCTCGCTTTTCCATACATGAAGAGCCGTTTAAAAGAATGGGCAAACTATCTCCCATGTGGGCGAAATGGAACGTGGCTCGTACCTGCATTGATATGTCTTGGCCTAGTAACTTATCCGTAAACATTTTGCCAAATAAAGAATATTTTAAAAGATCAGTTTATTTATCATAGGAAGCAACTGTATAATTCCTTTTGTTTTGACCTTTAAATGCATTATAATTACCAAAATAGGGCTACAATACCAAGTCATTGATTTCCTGAGTAAGAGCAAAGTCATTTGTATTGTATTAATAGCCTTTGTTATATAAACCTTTGAGAGCTGTGCCACTGAGCTACGGGGATTTCACGGTCACACCAACAACTGAAGTTTTGTTCTTTTTTTCATTTATCTATTTGGAAAATAACATATATCGACCTATTTGTTTCCCACATAGCTGACTTTTAAGCGCGGAAGTATGAGCTAAATTCGTCCACTTTTGGTCTTGAGAGCCGTAACAAGATACAAAACCACAAGTAAACTCAGTTGAAAAGACAAATTATTGATTCTTCTCTGCGACGTTTATTAGCATGTAACAATTTGTCAATCGACATTTCTGGGTTCCTCAAATACCCGATCATTGAATTTGAAAATAGCCTGGGTAGCAAGCGTTTCCGCGCCAGTTGATCAAGAATTAAAGTTGGGACGGGAGCAAAAAAGAGGAATATCCCGCTCGGAAACGCTTTCTAAGCAGGCTGATTTGGAAAGGTTTCGGGTAAAGGGATGAAACCCACCGTGCTCCCCTAGGTTCTTTTCTCTTTCTTTTTTTCTTTTTACCTTCTTATTTATTTATCTTTCTTTTTCCGTCTTATTTATATTTGTTGATTTGTTTTCCTTATCCTACAGCCACAATTCCCTTAAACAAACACCAGGAATAAAATGGGAGGTGCTATCTACAAGGATGCTCCAGCCATTAAATATGAGGAACGTAACATTTACCTAAACTCTATTCAAACTCTTGGCAGGTATTTAACACCATCCCGCCTTAACTACTCTTGCCTCTTCTACCCTCCCCCGCCATCACACACACAGTAGCTTGCCGGATAGGCGTTATTGCGTTATTTGTTAGCGATTTTCAGGAGAGCTAATGCAAGAGCGAGGGGAGCGTGGAGCGAGAGGCAGGCACGCCAGATTATTTTGAAAATCATGAACGCCTGTTTACCCACCTGCGCAGAAGTTCTTTTTGTGTCGTCACACAATCCTCCGTCACACGTAGGTAGACTATAAGTGGTCGCTCATTTTCCTCAGGAATAGAAATGCGAGCGTAATACGAGTGCGCTCGTGAAAATTGTCACCCGGGAGGAAGGTGATATGGGGAGGGAGGAAAGCATTTTCTCTCCTTCCCGCGCTCGCGTATATTTCGCTTGCTCAAATAACACTATTCATAATCTATACTGCGTATGAAGCGCCAAGAGATGAGGCTGCTTAAGGCCCTGAAACTGAATCTGAATCTGCTTCTGGCGCACCTAAAAGCCGAATAAAGGAAAACGAACTGTTCGTCAAAGGCTCTTTTGCAGGATGAAACAAAAAGCTTGCAATGACGTGCTGAAAAAACCTTCCAGCCGAAGTGTTGCATAGTGTAACAATATATCAAATTTGACCGGAAATAACACCAAATTCGGCAAGGAAGCCGGCACTACCAACTCTGAGGTATGGCCAGTACTTTACGCATGAAAACAGCCATATAACCCAGGCAGTGCATGGTTGCACAGACTCTCGTCCCCAGCGCCCGTCGTTGGGTGGCTTTTGGAAAAAGAATGGGCTGCACATGGCTGCTTCTGTCTGGTTGATATTGCTGTGCGCATGTGTAAAATACAGCTGGTAGCGTGTGGTTGTTTACCATTAACAATGGCAAACCGGTCAGATCACGGTTTGGACAAACAGTGAGAAAAACCAGGTCTGGTAAGTTTCATAACGGAATTATATTAACGAAACGCTTTTCTTCCCAGGCTTCCACCAACGCGACCAGTCACCCTTCATCAAAAGGCGCTGTTCATCCTTTGGTTATCGGTGATTCTTATTTGGTCTTGTCTGAAGTGCAAACGTTACATTTCCATGTGGCGTGATAAATACGGTACCAAAAAACAAGGGGACGAAGTAGAAACAGCAACGAAAGGTGAAGGTAGAGGCGTACAGGGACCAATTGCAAACATTTAAGACTTTTATGAGACTTCTCTGAGCGGACACCGGGTGTGGATAACGTGTATTAATTGATTTGATTTGGGCAAGAAGTATTTTTCCACGGTTACTTCTGTGGTCAAATGTTTTTACCTTTGTTTATCCATTTATTTTTGAAAATATTTTCTCTATTCATCTCTGTTTGCAGGATATTTCTGAAATCAACCAACCCCGCCCTGGGAAAAAATTGTATTTTATAATTTAAAACCTTACTGTTTCGCATAGTACAAAACCACGAGCGGTCGACCCTTTTTCCTCAGCCGGGCCAAGCGCGGTGATCGAAAAAGTAAAATTATGTACGAAGGAGAGATCGAGGCGGAAAGAGAGAGATAGAGAGCTGGAGTTCCTTACGCGTGCTCTCGATCTACTCCGACTCAAAGAAAATCTCTTACTTGCATTAGTAGGTAACGGCATGGGTAGAGTTCGGAACTTTCTTTAGAAGAGAAAAATTTGTGCAACTGTCATTTCCGTTAAAATCAACCTCGTTCCCAGGGTTCTCTTTTTCTGGTCTCTACGGAGCAAGAGAGGAACAGGTAGGAGAGAAGCCTGGGAACGAGGTTGGGTTAAAATGTATATCCAAACGCACATAATACATCACAATACATCCCGGATCAGAGAAGCACTGGCCAATAAGGCTACAGAGATCGATCACGTGTGAGGTCTTTTATTTGGCAGTCGTACACGGTGTTGGAGCTCGTGACACCTATGCTCTAACTATGCTTGGTTTGCAAGCACGTGACAAGGCGGTCATGAAAGAAGCGGACGAAGTAGAAAAAGCAACGAAAGGTGAAGGTAGAGGCGTACAGGGGCCAATTGCAAACATTTAAGACTTTTATGAGACTTCTCTGAGCGGAGACCGGGTGTGGATAACGTGTATATTAATTCATTTGATCTGGGCGAGAAGTATTTTTCCAAGGTTACTTCTGTGGTCAAATGTTTTTACCTTTGTTTATCCATTTATTTTTGAAAATATTTTCTCTATTCATGTTTGTTTGCAGGATATTTGTGAAATCAACCAACCTGGGAAAAAAATTGTATTTTATAATTTAAAACCTTATTGTTTCGCATAGTACAAAACCACGAGCGGTCGACCCTTTTTCCTCAGCCGGGCCAAGCGCGGTGATTGAAAAAGTAAAATAATGTAAGAAGGAGAGATCGAGGCGGAAAGAGAGAGAGAGAGAGAGCTGGAGTTCCTTACGCGTGCTCTCGATCTACTGCGACTCAAAGAAAATCGCTTACTTGCATTAGTAGGTAACGGCATGGGTAGGGTTCGGAACTTTCTTTAGAAGAGAAAAATTTGTGCAACTGTCATTTCCGTTAAAATCAACCTCGTTCCCAGGGTTCTCTTTCTCTGGTCCCTACGGAGCAAGAGAGGAAGGGGTAGGAGAGAAGCCTGGGAACGAGGTTGGGTTAAAATGTATATCCTGGATCAGAGAAGCACTGGCCAATAAGGCTACAGAGATCGATCACGTGTGAGCTCTTTTATTTGGCAGTCCTACACAGTGTAGGAGCTCGTGACACCTATGCTCTAACTATTCTTGGTTTGCAAGCACGTGACAAGGCGGTCATGTTGATGTTCAATACAATAAATACTTTAATAAACGCTTTACATGAAAGTGGAGTTAAGATCCTGGAGGAGAGGAATGCCTTTATCCTTGATCTCCAACATGGTGGCCATGACGTACGTCACGTGCAAACCAGCGAAGAAAGGTGCTTTCTTTACTCCATTCCTTATCATTAAAAATAAAATATTTTGTCTTTTGTTTCTTTAGAAAAGGACAATGTGTTAATATCTTTATATCCAGTTACCAAGCATGAACGTAAGTAAAACGGCTTTTTTCATATACTAACAACCTGTTCAAATTGGATGAATGACACTCACAGATGTGTATGCTATTCTAAATTAACCGTTCTGTCCTACTTCTCTCTGCACAGAAAAGTTTACCTTAACAAATTTACATTAATTATAATACATTAATTTGTAATTTTTTTTTTTGCTTTGCTGCCTCAGTATTTTTTCGAATACTTGTGTTTGCCTCTCAGTTTTTCCTTCATTTCTTGGCTGATTTTCCCAACTTTTTTCGTAGGGTTTCTCTCGTTTTTGTTTCACATAGTGCACTGAAAAAGACTCAGCAGAAACTTTTTCCTTCCCTATTTCCATAGAGTATATAAACTCAGCTGTTGTTGCTTACTTTTTTTTATTTTAGCCTCGGTATCACGTTTTGGCCGAGGGGACGCGACGGAAGAGAGCACTGGCACGAGAAGTATATTTGAAAAACTTCTAGAAACTGATCCTGATCAGCCATCATTTGAAGAGTTTTTAACCAAAGCTGTCATCTTCGGAGCCATCATGCTTTACTTTTGGCTGTGTGATTATCAGCATGTATGGTAAGAATCTCAAATTACAGGATATAAGAATTAATTAAGAGACATTTCATCATGACATGTGCTAAAATCCGAAACACGACAGTGGCAGATCTAGGGGAAGGGCCCGGGGGGGCTCCTCCCCCTTATTTTTAGACCAAACTGAGCCCCGAAGGGCCGAAAAAATNCCATCTCAGGGTCTGGATGAACGCCAGTCAATAACATGTATTTTTTTGACAGTTAGTGTGATGCCTAACCGGCTTTACTAACTCAATAAAGGAAAAGTTACATTTTCATACCGCTCAAGGAAACGGGTCCAATCACCAAACCCAACCTAAAATTTACAAACTTTTATTCTAGGCCGAAGACAAACAAACAGTACTCAAGAGACATATTTGTGTTCCTCTTCGCTTTGTTGGTGATCGTAGCTGCAGTTTACACAACTCGCAAGACACCCGAAAAACTTGTCAACAGAGATCAGACAGAAGAATGGAAAGGATGGATGCAGGTACAGTTGCGGAAATGAATCTCTCATTGGGGCCAGAAACGAAAACTTTTTCAAACGGCAGCGTTGCATCGGAATTCCTGGGTGAGCCTGCCGCTATCGACAGAGACTCAGCGTATATTCGTACCCAGTTGTGTGTCTATCTGTCTGGCACACGTTAGCGAGCGTAACTTCAATCGCTACCGTTGACTTTTGGCGCCAACATCGAGGATCAGACTGGGCCGAACGTCAGCCCTTCCTTTAAGGCCTTCCTTTACATTTTTCAGAATATAATTTTGTGTTATTATAATTGGAACCAGAATTAGAGGCTCGAAAATATTTTATAAGCGCAAGTTGCACCGTCCTAGGCAAGAAAACTTTGCTTCCTGAAATTTGACTTAACAGCAACCCTGGGGTTAAAATTAACCGTTCTTTCAAGGAACCGCGCACCGACTCCGCGCTCTTAGTTTTGGTTTAGCCCCTGTTTTGCTTCCCTTTACTCCTCCCTTGCAGTTACGTCCTTTGTTTTTCCTGCAGTGAGAAACTTTCTTGTTCTCTGTTTTTAGCTAGGATTTGCAGATAGGAATCGCAACCAGCTACAATTTGTAACATGCGAGCCGACTGAAGAACATTAGTTGATATCTTGCCAAAACTAAAAAAGGTTTATATATAAGACCCACAAATGAGACCAGATGCATTCATTAAAATTCGCTTTTCATTAACTCTATTTTTGTTTTTTTATTTTGGATTGTTTGATTTGTTTTCAGGTTCAGTTTGTTTGGTATCACTATTTCGATGCCCACGAGGTGTTTAATTCCATCAGATGCTATATCGCTGCTTATGTTTGGATGACAGGATTTGGTAAGAAAACTGAGATATTTCCTTAACCTTAAAAAATAATTTGACAAACAATTACAAACTTGTGTATTTTCTTTGGCCTAATAAAGGACCGTAAAGATTAGTCTTTTGGATATGGAAACGATACAACACCCGGTATCCGTTATATAGTCAACTCTCTATACACTTTGTAGATCGGCACTAACTGTACGTCTTAAAGAGATGTCCATCTTATAGAGGGTCAAATAAAGGGGGTAAAGAAAGGCAAGGACCCCCAGGGGGGTACTCTCTATGATGACCTATACGGGGAGGCTCCGCTCGAAAGGAGTATCTTTTTCAGGCTTCAGGTATATGAAAGGGTAGAGATTTCACTGGTTAAAGTATATACAGGGGTAGGGAAATCTGTCATTTGGGTCTGTGAAAGAGCTCAATTGCAAAAGGGCTAACAGATGAATTTTATGGGTCTATAAAGTGGGGAAAACTTTTTTTTGTGATTGATTGCTATTAAAAAGACAGTGCATTTACAGCAGTTAAAAGGGATGCAAAGTTCTAAACTAGGTATGTGAAAGGGGTACCATTTGTCAGTAGAAGGTATACAAATGGGGTACCTTTTCTTGAAAAATGGTATATAAAAGGGTAAGGGGTTGGCCCTCGGGGCGGAACCTCCTCGTGTAAACATTTGTGAGTACCCCTCCTGGGGCAAGGACCAACTCGTAGGTGTCCGCCTTACAGACGTTACCAAAGAGATTTTTTTATTTCCTTGCTAGGCAACTTTTCCTACTTTTGGATAAAGAAAGACTACTCACTTTTCCGCCTACTACGAATGATGTTCCGTCTTAACTTCCTTGTTGTCATGGTGATGGCAGTCACTAGAAACGAGTTTGTCCGGTATTACGTGTGTGCTATGCACACCTATTGGTTTATCACAGTTTACGTCATGTTGGCAGTGTTCAAGTCACGCAACGAGGTAAATAATTTTCTGGCATGATTACAGTGTACCGGTAACATCCACTAAAAATGTTGACCCTTTCAAGTCCAAAAAGACGCTACAAGTAGGTGGAATAATAATTTCTTGCAATATCTCTCTCGTTTTTAGATTTATTGTTCTAGTCACATAATTTCTCCTCAAAATCATGAAAGTACACATGTCGTATCTATTCGATCAAGCGCCCTGGGCGCCTTGAAACGTTTGGACCTTGAGAAAAGGGCGCCAACCTCGTCCCCAGGGCTTTTCCGTTAAAAAATGGAAAGGGAAAGCCCTGGGGACGAGGTTGAATGGGCACTTATTAAATTTTCGGCAAAAGTAATTTTATTTTGCAACAAAACGTGAAGATGTTTCAAAGCAGAATTATAACTATTCATTGAAAGTTTCTGTAAAATACTAAGAAAACTACTTGGTCTTCAGAAAGTCTCTTAGTGGAACTTAGTCTATTTCAATCTCATTGGCGACAGTTTGGTGGGGGCCCTTTAGTAGAGGGTGGGCGCTTATTCGAGGCTGGGCGCTAAATCGAATAAATACGGTACATACACGCACGTACACATTTCAAGACATCTAGAGCACGAGTGGATCGTAATTCTTTTCTCAAGACAGAAGCATGGGGTTATATGCTTCTACTCAAGGTTACAGCATAGATCAAGCAAAATTCTAGAGCAAGCGTCCCTTAGTATATCTCCTCACCTCGCGGGTGGCAGTTTCCCGCGGGACTCTACTCGTAGTTTACTAGTCAAGAATAGCATTCTAACTTTGAATTTCTAAAGCTGTTATAATAATTTTAAATTCTGCCCCTTAGAGTTCGGAATAATGCGTCAAAATTTGCCTTGTAATCATTTACGTTGAACAGGTCCTACAACACCTTTTATCATAGTTTAAGGTATTGTCAAAAACTAATCCTGAATTAAATAACTAACCCAAACTGATTGTACGTCTTAAGGGCGAGGAAGATGTTATCTCTGTATATTATAAATGTGTGAGAATATGAAAGCGAGAGATAAAGCTTCAACTAAATCATGTTACTTTTAACCTACTGTTGTTTTCAGAATCGCTATTTCATGGCTGCTAAATTTGCCGTCTATCTGGTGGTCAACGCCTTAATATTCGACATTCCTGGAGCTCCCTATGTGGTATTCTGGCCATTCCAGTTCATATTGAACGTTAGAGGCAACTTACGATACTGGGTCTACAGATCAACGTAAGAAGCTAGTGTTACTATTTACTTTTGATTTTCCCTTTCAGATTTTGTCTCCCCTTGATTTCACCTTCCACTGAGCTTTAACTGGTTTAGAGAAACGTACTGTAAATTCTGCACTTTGACCTAAGCCAGTTACTTCGCTTATTTGCCTTTTTATGATTTGAGTTGTATAGCAGGGACCACATGAACCCTTGTTTGAAGGTTGATATGTTTTTGGTGAAAAGGAAGACGGACGTCGCGTCGATGATGTCACATAGATATATAAACAAGTAATAACCAAGGGTTACAAAGTGATGACGACAACGATCGAAGGTCAAAACGCTTCTGCTCCAGCTTTTTGTGCTTTATGTGAGTTTCACGTAACATATGGTCAAAACACGCATGACCAGATTACGAGTGATACAAGGTCCAAACGCGCGTGATCAAAGTGCATTCCATACATTCTTAGTGGAAGTCCAAACGAATGCTGGCTACATACATGTGACGCATGCGTAATAAAGAACTTAGAGATTAGGGTCGCGGGCTCCTTTTGTCGCCCGCAATAACATGCACAAGGAAGCTCATTAGTGTGCACAGAATCGAAAAGAGGATGCTAAAATCACTTCTCTTGTATTTCTTAGGCTTGATCATTGGGCCACTTGGGTGGGAATGTTATGTGCGTACAACTACCCGTACATTGATCGGTTTCTTCATTTCTTGGACAAGAAACATGAAAACAGACGAACGGCGCAGGTAGCCATTCTGCTGAAAATCTGGATCACAGTCGCACTGTTTGGCGTCTTGGTGATGTGGTTCCACTTTGTTTTAATGCAAGAGCGAGAGTACTACAAAATAATACATCCTTATACATCGTGGATCGCTATTCTTATTTATCTGTGGTTCAGAAATCTTCATCCTTCCTTTCGATCCCACTATCTTGGTTTGTTCAGCTGGCTGGGGAAAATCACTCTCGAGACCTACTTATCACAGATTCATATCTACATGATTGGGAATGCACAAAAAATACTTATTTACTTACCGAGATATCCCATGCTGAACTTCATGTTAGCCACCGTGATTTATGTGGCGGTTTCGTACGTTCTTTTTCATCAAACTTTATTTTTTAACACTTACATTTTTCCTAAGAATATGGCCATTATTTGCAAAAATCTTATAGTGGGTACAGTATGGTTAGGACTTTGTTATTTACTTTCTTTTATTTTCAATATCGTAGGGATCTGGTAATTTTTAAGCGCGCTATTAAATAGAACGAAAGTATTTCACTTGCTTTTTCATCACCCTTGATCATTGCAGCCCAATAAAGAAATAGAGGATAATGGTTGGTTTGCTCTTATTAGATGATGCAGGAAAACCACGTTCTAATAATTTCGAAAACTCTCTTCATGCGTCAGATGTAAGCGTGTATTGTTAACTCACGATGTGGCGGCCACTATCCAGTTTGCTCTGGCGGGGGCAGGGCATCTTGTCCTTGCGGCATGAGTCCTCGCGGCTGCTCAGCTATTTTTGGGCGCACGGGTAGTGATGACGCACTTGCGTCCCTCCAATCTAGCCCAAGTTCAATTTCCAGAAGTGACGCCACACTAACCACATTATGGGGGTAGGTTAAGTTAGTTATTGGTCGCGCACTTTTTCTCTGGGTACTCCAACCTCAGCAGAGATCTGAGGACAAGTTTCTTTAGAGCTTCAGTTGAATCTGTTCTATTGTACGGGTCGGCGAGTTGGACATTGACCACTGCACTGGAAAAACAATTTCATGGCTGCTACACAAGGCTCCTACGTGCTGCTCTAAACGTAAGCTGTAGAGATCATATATCTAACAAGGAACTCTACGGAGCCCTGCCTCCAACTTCAACAAGTCTCCAGATACGTCGGCTGTAGTTTAGTGGCCACTGATGGAAAAACAAGAACAAGACTGTTGGCCAGCTACTTCCTTGGGAATCAAAACAAGGCAGACGCTCAAGGAGGCGCCCAGCAACAACACTCATCGACCAACTAGAGAGTGATACCAGTCTTACGAGGCAGGATCTTGTATTTGTCATGGCCAACAGACGGGAATGGGACAGACTTATAAAATTGGTACGGGCGCGCCCGATGGAAACAGATACACTCATGTCTCCCTAAATTAATAAATCTAAATTCCCATTCGAGCCGGACTGTTGGACGGAGAACAACATAATTGATGTGCGACCATACTATAAAGTTAATATTAATTTTATTCATTTGACATGTGCCCAGTGCAAGTTTTTCTTTGTTTATTACAACAACTTACTGCATCTGTTACGGGGAATGCGATCATCCACGATTTAGCAATACCATAGAAATAAAACACTTCGAAGAGAGTTTTGGAAACTGTTTAAAACACTCACAGCACGTGTTTCATCATTCTAAAAATTTTGCACATTATTTAAATAATCCTGATCAAACATTTTAGTTTTAATTATCAATATCTTAAATTTTTAACTGTCAAAAAACTGTCAAAACGTCCACCTAACGCCACAAACGTTCCTCTGCTCGCAAATGAAATTCCCGACATCGCAAAAGGAGGAAAATGAAATCTCATGCAGCCACATACTTTCGTCATTCAAGCAAAACATAGGTCTAAAAGAAATTGGTAAGCCCATATAGGGCAAAATAATGGCACCCTTAAAAGAGTAACCTTTTTGATATCATTAATGTCTTCACGACATTTAGTTTCACCTTAACACAATTTTATAACTCCCATATAATATAAGAATTATGTTTTAGCACACAAAAACGCCCTAACATATACAGCTATTTCGAGAAAGGTTGTCGGACAAAATGTGCACGCGACAATCCCTAAACGTAAACTGATCAATACACTGTTCCTGACTCTGTAGCTGTCGAACCTACTTTTGTTGCTTTCTTTTAGCACTCGCAAACATACTTCCCTGGCCTCTCGTGTCATTCTTTCAAACTTCTTCTTATAACAGTGAATTCAAAACCACCCTCTGGCAAATGGGACAACCTGTGTAATGAACTGGGAGTGAGCCGAAAGTTCTATTTTCGGTTTGACTATTCAGTCATAGTATACAGAGAAACGTGATCTACAGAATTTGGTTTGAATTTTTTCCTATAACCCAGAAGGAACAAAAGCTCATGAACTAGAATTAGATTCCTTCAACCAGCAACACTAGGCAATGACTTAACCTAGATTTTTAAAAATTTGTGAAAAAAAAACAACAACAACAACAACAACAACAATAACAACAACTAAAGAAAGAAGAGATAGAAATGGTAACATAAAAATATATCAGGGCCCTTATGCTGCAGCCTGCTCTGAATCCCATTTCACAGAGTCTGTCATAATTGGACACTTGAGCACTTCAGTGAAGTATCTTTTTTCAACTGGGCTGTTAACTGTCCATAAAACAACACTAATTCCTTTGTCTCGCCATTCCTTTACATATTCCCTAAAAGAAAAGAACAAAGAGACTATGAGCAAAGGCGGAAATCATAATATTTTAACTTTTCAAAGGGTTTAATATAAGAAATTTATAAGGAGATCAAATTCTTTCAACAAATGAATATGGTGCCCAGCTCTAAGTCTTATACAATAAGTAAGGTGTCCATAGTGACGAAGCTGGTCAGTCAGTAAGTCGCCATGGGTTGCAAGATGCTCTATTTTCCAAGATTGCCTGTTATTTAATATGCCAAAAATGCATTTGAGTGTCAATGTATTAAGCTTGGAACTACTAATTTAAGACACCATCAGGTGTCATTTTGTGTGGTCATTTGAGTCATGCAAAGTTCTAGCTGTTTAAAAGGCAAATGCAGAACCGTCATTTCTTTAAGACCCTGAGTACTGGATCAGCCCTGGGAATCAAAACCTGCTACCTGCCACTTTCGCAGTCAAAAACTCTACTGACTGAGCTAATCCTGTTGAAATACTTCATTGTGACAAACAACATCAGTCCCTCTTATGTCACTCTTGAAGAAATTCATTAGGCTAGTAAGTTCAATAATCTATTCAAATGTTCTTAAAGTATAGCCCGACAGAAAAATCCTGATGATGCTGACAGTTTCAATGACTGACAGCCATCTTTATCAAAACTAAAAATGTCACAGGTGTCAGCAGCCCTAAATTAATAATTTGTGACAAATCTGCAAAGTCACCACCAGGGGGGAGGGACGGGCTCCACAGAGTGACTTTACGCGTTTGTTGCAATTAACACCTTCAGAAACCTATTTAGGGCTACTGTAACCTGTGAAGTTTTTAGTTTTGATAAAGATGGCTGTCAGTCATCAAAACTGTCAGCATCATTAGGATGCCCTCTTATTTCAACCTGGACAAACATATGTTCCATCACAGTTTGCAGGGTGGAATGCCCTTCATACCAAGACAGCTTCAGACAATTATTGTGCGGGTGATTATTGTCGGGGAATGATGCGGGTCTAAGAAGGCCTCGTAGGATTAATTGGAAAAATAATAAACAAACAAATAACAATGGAACCTATCACTTAAACAAAAGAGTTGTGATATATAGCCATCCAATGAAATATGAGGTTTTAATGAACTATGACACTAGTTACTGGAAATCCAGGGTGCCCAGCCACAAGTTCCCCCGCAGGCCTTTGGCATGGATGAGGCAAGATCTGGAATCAACTCACCAAAGGAATGAGCCAATAAGAATCAATCTTGTTCAATGGTGGATAGTTTCCCAGTTACATGTATTTTATGTTTTATTTGGTTTAAAATCTAGATGAGGCAAGCAACTTTTCCTAATGTCTCTCACTAGCTACAGCCTTGAGTTTAGCGCAAAAATTGAGATTTCCCAGTGTCAGCCTGATGCAACAAACTCTACAGTGGAAGTCCTTTTAATCACTGCATGATTGATAGCCAGCTTAACAATACCCTACTATTGCAGGCATGCTAGCAGAACATAACAACCAGGTATGCACACCTCAAAGCTTCTGGAGACCTTCTGAATCTGACAGCCAGTCAATCAGAACAAGAAGGGCTGATCACCTTTGAGAAATTCATCCAAGGCTTGGACACAGAGTTAGCCTACATAGCAAGCATTTTCCTGCGAGTTTGTTGAGAAAGTTGGGACAACAGCAACAAAAAGAGGTATGAAGAAAAGGACACCAAACCATGAATTATCATGGAGTGTTTTCCAGACTTGTGATGTTTGCAGACAAGCATGATTATAACTCACAATAACTCAACTGGAAACACTTGCTATCTAGGGCAAAACAGACTATACTGTCAATACCTGGAAAGATGAGCTGTGTGTGAGAGAAATACACCCACTCCTAGAAAATCATAAACCCATGAATGGAGGTGTAATTCCCAAATTCTGTCTAACCATGGAGCGAAAACTTGCTTCCACCAATCTTTGTATCTCGACGGGCCATCATAGTCTGTGTTGGATATAAAGTTCTTACGCCATGTGATGGCAGTGAGAATGTTTGGATCAGCTCTTCGAATCTGTTGGTAAAGAAGAAATAAGGTAATGAATTTTTTCCTAGGAGAACAAGAAACACTCTTAACATAAAGTACAAGATAGAAAAACATCAATATCCTGTCAAGGAAACCACTTGAGGGACAAGACAATCTCCTTGCATACAACAACAACAGCAACAACTTTATTAACAGCAAAGAAATTCATAATACGTATTATATACACTACATACATTTTAGCAAAAGCTATTTGAGGAAGGCAGTGTGGGGACACACCATACATGTAATAACACATTTTAAGATATTTTAAACATTATATTAAGGAGATTTAAAAATATGAGGAAAAAGACATAACTAAAATAATATTACAAATAATGCAAATAAATAAATATGTAAATAAGTAAAGAAATAAAGGAATGGCGATATTTATTTTCATTTTTTTACTTCTCTTGGAAATATTTTTCATAATTTGCATTTTGCTCCACATTTTTTCTTTTCATGCTTTTATTTAATCACCTTTTACCCATTTAAAGGAAAAAATAATGGGTTGTTGAAACCTCAGATTTTTTTTTAAAAAAATGTTGAGTTTACATTACATAAATAAATTTCTTACCTGGAAAATTACATTGGGGTAGAATGAGCAAACCACGGCTTTATCATACAACTGATGACTGGCAAATACATTTTTTAGCACACTTGCAGCCTGGCTCAGTAAAAAAGACAACCGCTTATCAGTAACTATAGTGGTAATTATTCTATTTTGATTAAACATGATCAAAATAATTGCAAAAGCCTTATTTAG